TGCCTTATCGTGGGTCTCTAAGCACTTATCACCCTCTTTTTCTCCAAGAGAAGAGCCGCTGTATCACGTACAACCCATTTGCTATTTACATGCCAGTAGAAGACTTTTGACTCCTTTTATTTATTGACTGCCATATATTCTCATACTCTGTCTATATGTTGACCATACCAGATCTACCTCTTCACCACCTCTCTCAATCCCTCGGCTGTAATTAAGATATATGTCTGCTTCTCCAACTTCCAGTATTGCACGGAGAAAATGTTTCCTCCAATGAAGTATTGGAAAGATCAAAGCTATTGTCTTCCAACTACTAGAAATTCCATTCTCAAACCCCGAGTTCTGTTCCTTTAACTGAAAGCTGTTTGATGTGGAACAAGGTTTTTTACACCTGTCCTTATTCATGCCTTTGTTGCCTGTAGACAAGCATCCCATGTTGTACACTTTCTGAACCTCAGGTTATCCAAAATTTTGTTGCCATATCCAAACACACACCAAATTAATTCATCCATCACCCAGGTATTCGCTGACCTACATTGACTCCCTTCCTACCTCTATGCTCTTTCTCAACACTACACACTCTGCAATATCTGTGTTCCACTAATTCTTACCTTTTAAACATTCCCAATTTTACAGCAGCTGCTGAAATCATAGGCTCAGGAATTCTCTTTTAAAACATCTGGACAGGCTACCTTTCTTTCCTCTTTAAGATATTGATCAAGCTTTTCATCCTCTGTCTGAATAGCTTCTTGTATGACTTAACGTCAAATGTTGTTTGATAATGCTCCTTTGAACCACCTTGAGACACTTTGCTATGTTAAAGGTAATGTATAAATGCAAATTATTGTGGTTATAGTGAAACCCAGTGCCGAGAGCTAGAGTAACAATGGGGTTAATAGGTAACAGAGTTCAACGTTGTGAAAGTGGATCAATTTAGGAAAGGAAAAGGAGTAAAATCCAGATATAGTTCCAGAAGTATAGCATGAGACAGACTTTACAAATGGGTAGAATACAGTGAGATTCTGGGAGTATAGCCATGCAACTGTTACTATTAGAGGGTGAAGAGTGTGCATATACTTGTTACTAGAAATCTTCCTCCAGCTTAACAGCTTTATCAGCCCAGGCAATGGCAGAAATGCTGCAATTCAGGACTAATTTGCCAATGTGTAGCCAGCTAGTGAAACAAGATACTGCAAGTGCTGAAGATCT